TTTTATTCGGCATTTAAAATGGACATTCAACTGACGAGACAAAAGGTGGTCTCGATTTTTCCATGGCTGTATATACTTTTGATATCTAATTTTATTATGTTCATTCTACCTACAGGTATATCTTCTTTTTATATTTACTGACATTTTACAATCATGTATATTCATTTTATTTACTCATTTCTAGTATTTAACTTGTCTGAATTACATTTTTAAATTTTTTTTCTTATCTCAGATATATTTCCAAAAGTTACTTTTTTCAAATAGTTTTTATATAAAATTTTTAAAAAATCAACATATTTTAACCGTTGTAATGCAAGGTTCTTAGCAGTTTATTAAAACAACAGTAAAGAGTCTTTGCTCATCTCAAGACAAAAGAAAAAGAGATCATGAAGTGGATTGTCGAGTTTATTTTTATCAATTAAGAAAAAAAACTGAGGACCGCCAATCGCATCCGTCAAAATATTCTTTTCATCTAGTAACATCGTCAACTGCTGTTTCCATTTTAGGATAAGAAGCTGTACACGTTCTCACCTCCGAGATCACAGGCACTCTTGAAGGCAGACAAGTCAAAGGCTGTTGCCACTGCTTTCCCAGACACTCGAGCGAAACTGTGCATGGCCTTCATGAACCTCAGCTTTACCTCCTGGCTCCTGTTGACTGTGTCCTTAGTGAGCAATTCAGCATTAGACCTGCACAATGAAGGAATTGTAGTACTTCATTGGACTATTTACCTGGGATAAGTCACCAGACTTGTTGCAGAAGGTCCTGTGGTGCTGGTGGACGCCCTCCTGCACAGCGCTCTCCAGGTGGCTGAAGAGCAGCCACACGGTATCGTTGCAGTGCTCCAAGGAGCCCAGCAGGGAGGATGGGGCCTCGGACAGAAGGAAGCGTTTGGACAGTTCTGTGTTCTCGTACGCTGGAGTCTTACAGTCTGGAAGAAAAAAAAAAACAATATGAGAGAGGTGAGCTTGTTGTATCAATATTGCATAGATTGCTGTAGCTGTCCTTCTAGTATCGCTTATTCCGTGCGAGTATGACGTGAAGGTGAGAATAGCAGATACACTGAATGCATTATACAATAGGTCGTTTCATTAACATCTGCTGTCAACAGTTTCACAAAACATGAAATGCCTCAAGACCACAAACATTCAATTGTTTGCATTTAATACATTTCCATGACACAGGTGATAAAGAAGAGAAAATGGTTGACTAACTTGAGCTCTTTAACAGTTTTAGAGAAAGGCATGCCTCCAGCAGATGCTCCGTTCCCTTGAGGGACGTTTTCAGCTCGAGGGCCACCTGTGCTGCATTCAACGCTGGTCTGCGCTGGAGCAAGTCAAATACGCCCAACTTGGAAGCGGTAAACAATGCCTGGAAGAGTTATTTTGGGATTTAAAAAAAAAAATAAAAAATTTAAGAGCTGTTTTCCATTCAATCTTACAACCAAAAGATTGGATGGAGAGAATTTTGTTTGACAATTAGAGACGTTATGTACTTATTTTATCATTCTATTTCTTATTCAATTCTGCAAACAATATAAGCTACTGCTTCAACTGAATGGGCATTGTGCTGCTCCTAGTATGGGCAGCTGTTGGCCAGCTGCTCCTGGCCAACCGGAGACGCTATCATATACTGTAGTCACAAAGGATAAAGACTGTATGCCTGCGAGCATTGTCATATTGTCTCCCGCCAAGTGTTGCTCCAATGTTTGTATTCAAATATGTTTCTTGAGGGTAACAAAGCCTCAATACCAATGCTATTTTTCAGCCAGTCTATAACATTTTGCATTGCTTGTTAGCAGAAAGCTAAATTGACATTTTGAGGGCAAAAGCTATGTGGTTGGCTAAAATACACAACATGTACAGTGTCTGTAATTGTCTTTTTTTTTTTTAATGTTTACATCGGCAGTGAACTTCAACCATGTTTGGAAATATGCTCAAAGCGTGCACTGGTTCACTCCGACCATTCGGAAATTCAAGCGTTGTTCAAACGTGCCGTTCCTGTCTTCAGAGTGAATTTTTAAAGATACCCTTCAGTTACGGCTGTTGGCAAGTCATGTGTACAAAATATTTTAAAGTACTGATCGCCCTCACCTTGGATGCTTTGAATCCGTCCATCAGTTGAATGATTTTCTGTAGGTCCTCTCTGGCTTCTTCGCTGTCCTCACCTTTGTTGAAGGGCCTACTGTTGGCAGTCACTGGTTGTATTTCCTCAGTGGGTCCGGATGAGCTGTTCACCACCTTTAAAAGGTCCACCACCTCTTATAAATGGTTTTTAAAAAATGTGGTGATTGACATTGCAAAAGCTGACATTGTGTTCAGGAAGTACCGTGTGCATGGATGAAGGGGTAGGGAGCGGATGAACTGCTGCTGGCAGAGTTGGGTCAGTGTCGCCGTGGCAACTGCCTTGTTTGTTGTAAATCTGGTCCAGCTGTTTACA